AAAAGGGATTATCTCTGATAATCTCTTATTATAGGCAAAGCCCTCATTTCAAGTTCTTCTAGGTAAAGGAAGGGGCAAAAGTTTCTCTTGAACCTATGGCTAAAATTGTCTTTGGCTCAAAGTAATCTGCATACCACAGAGGCACATCTTGGGGTCGACCATTCTGAACCCCTACATCATCTAAGGCAATGGTTCTCAACCTTCCTAACGCCGTGACCCTTTAATACAGCTCCTCATGTTGTCTGGGCGTGTCTGCATGTGGGCGGACCCGCCTGGAGACCATGAAGGAGCGGTGTCTCGGTTCCTAAGACCATCGGAAATACGTGTTTAGGCGACCCCTGTGAAAGGGCCGTTCGACCCCCAAAGGGACCGTGGCCCACAGGTGGAGAACCGCTGCCTGAGAGTTTATGAGAGGCAGGCCTGTGGGGGAAGAGGAGGGGAGGGCAAGGCAGGGGTGTGCTCCCGAGGGGGGAGCAAACACTGGGTCCTCATCTTGAGGGTTTTCAAGGCTGGAAGTTTACAAGCGTCTGAGGAAAGGATCCCAATAGAATATTCATCAGCTTGCCCAGGTTTAGCTCAGTGGTTAGAGTGTCGGCCTGCGGTCCAGAGAGACCGGGTTCGGTTCCTGCTAAGGGCACGTACCTCGGTTGCAGTTTGTCTCCAGCCCTGGTTGGGTCATTTGGGTGGCGACCACTCGATGTGTCCCTTTCACGTCGATGTTTCTCTCTCTCTCCCTCCCACTCTATCTGAACAAAAAATGGAAAAATGTCCTTGGGTGAGGATAAAAAAAAAAAGAAAAAGAATATTCATCAGCTTTTCCAGTGTGTCCTTTCAGGGTCCAGGTCTCCACTGATGGACTGGTCAGCACCAGGGCAGGAGGTCATTAGTCCGTGCAGCTGGTCCTGGGGCAAGCCCGGCTGAGGGTCCGGGCGCAGCGGCTGCAGCGGAGCCCCGGTCCTGCCACTTACGCGTCGTCGGCTCTTGGGAGAGCTACTCACCCTTTTGTGCATGACTCGGCACAGAGTAAGTACTTGGAAAAACAGAGAGTCAACCGGCACCTGGTCCACAAGCCCCGAGGACACGCGCTCAGTTTCATAAAGGGAGCCCTCCCCTCTCTTGCCTCCGGGCACCTCAGATTTGGGGTGGAGTGTATCCCCCCCCCAACACACCGTTCTGTGGCTTTGAAACCTCAGCTGAAACTGAGCCGGAAAGAGCCCCGTTATCACATCCTGTCACCCTGGGGTCGGGCAGGCGGAAGACAGAGGGGCTGGGAGGAGAGGCCCTGTGGGGGCTCCGCCGGCCTGGCCAGCCCGGGCCCGAGCTGGTGACCAGCTGCGACCACCTTCCTCTTCTTTCCCTTCACCTTTTTTTTTTTTTTTTTAAATATGTTTATTGATTTTTTTAGAGAGAAAGAGATAGAAACGTTGATGTGACAGGGAGACATCGGTTGGCTGCCCCCTATGGGGGATCAAGCCTGCAACCCGGGCATGTGCCCTGGTTGGGAATTGAACCGGGACCTCTCAGTCCATGGGGCGCTCAATCCACTGAGCCACACCGGCGGGGCAACTTTTTTTATTTCCAACTAAATTTTTTATTTTGAGATAAATGCAGATTCACATATATCTTCTTGACTTTTTATTTAGAAAAATTTCCGACCTTCAGGAAAGCTTTAGGAATGGTACAAGGACACCATCTACTCCTCACCTGCATTTACTAATTCATATCTGGTTGAGTTTATGGTTTTAATGTATTATCCATAACTATATAGACACTCATAGAAATAATTATGGAAATATGGACATTATCCACTAGAAAACATATTTATAAAAACTCTTTACATATAATATATAGAATGAGTTTATGTATCAAATGATATATTTATGTAAGTTGAGTGTATACATGCAAACATAACATGTGCATGTGTGTGCATATATTCTCTAGCTATGTCTGCAGAGGGTCTAGAAGCAGACACCTCCAAAGTGACAAGCTCACCTACCGACGACTCAATCACGCCTTCCAGTCACCACCCCCACTGCAAAGACCATCCTGCGTGTCTTTGGAGAGATGGCTGATCCCAGGGTGGGGCAGGAGAAGGCCTGCAGGCGCCTGGAACACACTGTCAGGGAGTTAGGGAGCAGTCAGGGGACCATGAGGACTTGTCGAAGGACAAGGAGGCAGCCTGAAGGAATCCCACTGGCCAAAACAGGGGCAATTTTTCTTCTGTTTAATCCTCACCTGAGGATCTTTTCCCATTGATTTTTAGAGATAGTGGAAGGGAAAGAGAGAGAGAGAGAGAAACATTGATGTGAGAGAGACACATCAATTGGTTGCCTCCCACATGACCCCAACCGGGGTGGGTATCGAACCTATAATCCAGGTGTGTGCCCTTGGCCAGAATCAAAACTGAGACCCTGTGGTCTGTGGGCCAACGCTCTAACCACTGAACCATACTGGCCAGGGCAAAACCGGACCAGTTTAAAAAAACAAAACAAAAACCAATAGTAATGGGCCGCCGCGCATGCCATGGGAGCCGTGACTGACGACAAAGTCACATGGAAGCGTCTCCTAATTGACGGAGATGGCGCCGGCGATGATCGAAGAATTAATCTGCTGGTGAAAAGTTTCATTAAATGGTGCAACTCTGGACCCCAGGAAGAGGGATACAGCCAGTACCAACGTATGCTGAGCACCCTGTCCCAGTGTGAATCTTCAACGGGCAAAACTTTGCTGGTATATGATATGAACCTCAGAGAAATGGAAAATTAGGGAAAAAAGTTACCAAGAAATAGAATGTAGCATTGCTGGAACACACGAAAAAATTGCCGAGTGCAAAAGTAAATTCTTCAAGCAAAACGAATACAAAAAAAATCATCAAGAATATGATGCTTTGGCAAAAGTGATTCCGCATCATCCAGACAGGCATGAGACGTTACAAGAACTAGAGGCTCTGGGCAAAGAATTAGGGCATCTTTCACATGTTAAGGGAAGTGTTGAAGACCAGCTGGAATTGAGACGGGAACAGTTCCATGTTCTCAGTACCATCCACGAACTTCAGCGCACACTGGAAAGCGAGGCAAAGCTCTGAGAGGCGGAGGAAGCCCAGTAAAGGAGCGCGGACGCAGACCCAGCCGCAGACAGGCCGGCACCCCCCGCGCGCTGGTGGAGTCGTAGTGTGATCTTCGTGTGTTTAGAATTTGCTGTGCTCTTGAAATATTTAAAGTTTTGACAGTGAACTACTCTGCTTTTAAATGTTAAAGTACAGTTCATTCGTATTTCTTCAGACAAAGGAAAATGACTTTAGCATAGATTTGTTTGTTATTGAAATACCATTTTTATTTTTAAAAAGTAAGAAACAACATCCAAAAATGTTTAATAAAACTTTTTCAAGCCAGAAAAAAACAAAAACAACAGTAATGGATTATTATTCATTGATTGAAATATGAAAGCAGGGGCCTGGCCAGTTTGGCTCAGCGGTTGGAGCGTCGGCCTGCAGTCCAGAGAGACCCGGGTTCGGTTCCCGCTAAGGGCACGTACCTCGGTTGCAGTTTGTCCCCGGCCCTCGTTGGTCGTGTGGGTGGCAGCCACTCGATGTGTCCCTTTCACATCGATGTTTCTCTCTCTCTCTCTCCCTCCCACTCCATCTGAACAAAAAATGGAAAAATGTCCTCGAGTGAGGATAAAAAAAAAAGAAAAAAATATGAAAGCCTGATATAACCTTATTGACATAAATGAAGAAAGAAAAACTCTTTTTTACAGAAAAAAATCAATTTTACTTCACACTGATCCATCTAATTCCCATCTAATCCATCTAGCACCACAGGGCTCCCCTCCCCCTCCCCTTCCGGCTGTGTCTCCTTTCTTTCCCAGAGAGGACGACCCTGCATTCACATCCACTCGCCTCACCAACCGTGGGAGAACTGCTGCACCACCACTGTTAGAACAAACACTGAGCAAAGGTCAAGGTTTACTTGCAGTTCTTCTTATTTTTTTTTGGTACGTGCCCCTAGCGGAAACCAAACCCAGGGCTCTCTGGTCCGCAGGCTGACGCTCCAACTGCTGAGCCAAACCAGCTAGGGCTATTTTTTAAATAATTATCTCTAATTCTTTTTTTGTTTGTTTGTTTTTCCAGTTTTTGAGTGTGGGCTCTCTGTGCCACTGAAGGTGCCCTGTGTTTCTGAGCTGGGCTTTGATAACGAATGGGAGTGTCCTGGAAGGAGGGGGGGGGCGGCAGAGGGACACGTGTGTGCCAGGGCCTCGGGATGAGCTGACGGTGTGGTGTGTCTCCCGCTGGCGCTGAGCCCAGGGTTTGTGTAGAGGGAAGGTGAATACCAAGGTACAAGTCTGGAGAGGTGTGTGGTGGTGCTCAGGTAATGGCTTGGAAGGGCCTTGACTGCCAGAAAAAGAGCTTGGGGTTGGCCCTGGCCGGTTTGGTTCAGCGGTTAGAGCGTTGGCCTGTGGTCCAGAGAGACTTAGGTTCAGTTCCCACTAAGGGCATGTACCTCGGTTGAGGTTTGTCCCCGGCTCTGGTTGGTCATGCAGGTGGCAACCACTTGATGTGTCCCTTTCAGGTCGATGTTTCTCTCTCTCCCTCCCACTGTATCTGAACAAAAAATGGAAAAATGTCCTCGGGTGAGGATTTAAAAAAAAAAAAAAGAGCTTGGGGTTGATGTAGTGGGCACTGGGGAATCATGGGAGGCCTTGGAATTTAGCAAATGTGGCAGACAGATGGGCAAAGTGGTGGGGGTGGTTGGGACTACAAGACACAGTGGCTGAGCTGGGAGAATGGCCTTGTAGCATTCTCCTCTGGAGACCTCAGTGTTATCATCTGTAACATGGGTCCAAGGAGAGAGACCCACTCCCAGGGCTGCCTGGAGACTCCCCAAGGGCCGTGTCTGACCTCTGTGGTGTTGGGAGGGGGGGGCGGCTCCCACAACCCCCTGCTCTGTGACATGTGTCTGCTTCCTGTTTCTTCCTGTCGGGGGCAGTCTCAGTCTCGGCTTCAAAAGAACAAACTCGCTCTCAAAACAAAGGAAGACAGTCCTCGGCTGCAGAGGAAACAGGAAGCTGCCAGCCCTGCTCGAAGTCCAGCTGCGGGGGCTCAGGGACAGCAGGATGGAGTCCGTGGCCCTGTACAGTTTCCAGGCCACAGAGAGCGACGAGCTGGCCTTCAACAAGGGGGACACACTCAAGGTAGGATGGCCAGACTGGGCCCCACATGGGATGGGTGGTTAAGAACCAGGGGCCCAGGACAGCCCCCCTAAAAGAGTCCAGTCTTTGGAGGAGGACAGGCCCAGCTCCTTCAGTTGTCAGCTACGTGAGTCAGGACAAGCCATCTCTTCCCTCTGAGCCTCAGTTTCCCCATCTAGGAAACCAGGTCATTGTGATCCTCCTTTGGGGGCCATTGTGAGGATTCAAGGGGACATTAGTGTAGGGTCTGGCAGGAGTGGTTGGTTCAACACCCAGTTTTCCAGGGGAAATCTGAGAAGACAGTTGTTGAAACAGAAGAGGGGCAGGGGGAGGAGAGAAGGAAGAAAAGAGGAAGTGCTCAGGAAAGTAAGCAGTACACACGATAACCTCCTGGGCTGGGAATAGGTGACTGGAGGGTCAAGAACAAGCTTCCCAGAAGCACGGAGAAAAGGGAAGACGAGTCCTATCGTGGCTCAGCTCTTTCTGTCTGGGCCTGTTCTGGAACTGCTGCCTTCCAAGGGCGGTCCAGGCAGACGGGTCTGTGGGATCGCTCTCTGGAAACGTCTTTGCTTGCAAGGCTGCTCAGGGCTGGGTTCGGGAGTGGCCATGCCAGGACGTAGGCACCGCAGCTGCCACGAGCCGACAGCCGCTCTCCCTGGGCCCGAGTCTCTGCCTGGAGCACTGGGCTTTTGACTAGATGCCCCTCTACTCTGGGCCTGCCTTTTTTTTTTTACGTATTTAATTAATTTATTTTGTTTTAAATCCTCACTGAGGATATTTTTCCATTTATTTTCAGACAGAGTGAGGGGGAAGAGAGAGAGAGAGAAACATTGAGGTGAGAAAGACATTTCGATTGGTTGCCTCCCGCATGACCCTGACCAGGGCTGGCGACCGAACCGCAACCAAGGTACGTGCCCTTAACTGGAATCAAATCTTCGACTCTGGTCTGAGGCTCGATGCTCTAACTGCTGAGCAAAACCGGCCAGGGCAAAACTATGTTTTTTATTGATTTTTTTTTTTAGAGAGAGAGATAGAAACATTGATGTGAGAAACATTAATTGGCTGCCTCCTTCACGCCCCCTACTGGGGATCGGCTCGTAACCTGGGCATGTGCCCTGACCGAGAATCGAACCGAGACCTCTCAGTCCATGGACCATGCTCAATCCAGTGAGCCACACCAGCCAGCCTCCTGGACCTACTCTTGGCCCAAAGCTTCAAGCACAAGAAGGGACAGGAACTCCTGTCTGCTGCCACCCTGCCAGAGCCAATCCTAAGTTCAGCAGTGTACCTGTGTCACAGTTAAACTGCGGAAGTGGGGAGGATTGGCACCCTCATTTTACAGGTGACTAAACTGAGGCACAAGGAGGTGACATGACTTGCTTAGTATGCGGTCGAATTTGAACATATGTCCTTTGACTCCGAAAACATTTCTGTCCCCTGTGAGACTGAATGGACTGGGCTGGGGAGGTTGGTATTTCTCAGAAGGAACCACGTCCCCTTGAGGAGCCACCACCCCTTCTCTGTGTAGTATGCCGATACCTGTGTGCACCTGAGCTGCTGGTTGGGGGCCCCAGGGACGTGTGGCCAGATGGGGACGAGGGCAGGTCTGGCACCAGGACAGTCTAGTCACTGTCTGTGAGAGCCAAGTCTAGTTCAGAGGGCTCGCTTACCAATCTGAGAGCAGTTTGGGGTCTCTAAACCCAGACTGAGGCTTGGGAGGGAGTGGAACTATGCGGAGACAGGAATGGGTGAATGATGGGCTCCAACTAAGGCTCAGGGTGATAGGGTGCGTCAGTGGGGGTCCCCAAGGCCAGTGTAGAGACTGTAACATCCCCACTGCCCTCCCAGACTCCTGTGCCCACCTCTCCTACCCTAAGGTTAGTTGTTTCCCACTAGCCTTTGCTAAAGTGTTAGCCAGTTCCTGGTGCGTTTGCTTACAGCAGATGCACTGGTTGTTGAGGAAGGAGGGAGCTCATGAGGACAGGGTCACGCTGAAGCCGCAGGACATAGCACGGTGCCTGGCACACACTAGGCTTTCAGTAAGACCAGGGAAATGTTGAAAAAGGAAAGGAAGGAAGTGAAGGACTAAAATGTTATAGATACCGGGGCCCCTCATGTGGGTGGAGGCTGAGGAGGGGCCTTTCAAGCTCAGAAAGTGATGGAGGACTGAAGGCGGTGGGAGGTGCCACCTTCTCCTTCACTCACTCAACAAACTTGTTGAGCTGTTTTTTTCCAGTTTTATTGAGATATACTTGACATATAAGATTGTATTTGTTTAAGGCGTACAACATCATGATTTGGTGTATGTCTATGTTATGAAATGATCGCCACAATAAGTTTAGTTAACATTCATCACCTCACATAATTACATTTTTGTTTTCTTTTAATCCTCACAAGAATAATTTTTTCCCATTGATTTTCAGAAAGAGTGGAAGGGCCCTGGCAGGTTTGGCTCAGCGGTTAGAGCATCGGCCTATGGACCAAAGAGTCGTGGTTTTAATTCGGATCAAGGGCATGTACCTGGATTGCAGATCCCTGGCTCTGGTCAGGGTCGTGCAGGAGGCAACCAAGTGATGTGTCTCTCACACTGATGTTTCTCTCTCTCTCTCCCTCCCTTCCACTCTATCTGAGAAAAAAAAAACAAAAAAAAAGGTGGAAGGGACTGAGGGAGGAAGTAGAGAGAGAGAGAAGTATTGATGCAAGAGAGTCACATCAATTAATTGCCTCTCACACTTGGGGATGAAATCTGCAACCCAGGTTCGTATCTTTGACTGGGAATTGAACCCATGACCCTTCTGTGTGTGGGCTGATGCTCTAACCACTGAGTACTGGCCAGGCACATAGTTATATATTTTTTCTCTTGATGAAAACGTTTAAGATCTACTCTCTTAGCAACTTTCAAATATACAATATAGTACTATTAACTATAGTCACCATGCTGTATATTACATCACAGAACTTACAACTGGAATTTGTACCTTATGACCCCCTTCACCCATTTCCCCTCCCCCTTACCCCTTGCCTCTGAACACCGCCAGTCTGTTGAGCTATTGAACACCTACTCTGTGCCAGGCACTGTTCTAAGTGTGCGGAATACAGCAACAAACCAAGTAAAGTCCTTGCCCTCCTCGAGCTGCCATTCCAGAGGGTAAGTGGCACTTGGAGGGGCTAAATGGATTGAAGAAATCAACAGGCAGAGGAAATGCCAGTGACCAGTGGGTGGTCAGGGCAGTCTCTCAAAAGAGGTGACGCCTGAGCTGAGACCTGAAAGGTGAGCAGAAAGCAGTCATGCAAATAGCTGAGAGCTCCGGGCTGGGGAACAGCTGGTGCAAAGGCCCTGAGGCAGGATCATATTGATATGTTTGAAGGATTGACAGAAGGTCTGTGGCTGAAGAGCAGTGAGTGAGAAGGAGGAGGTAAAGATGTGGCTGGAGGGAGGCAGGAGTCAGGACCCGTGGAGGACTTGGATTTCATTGTAAATGTGAGGTAGACTCATGAAGGGTTTCTCCAGCGGTGTTTTAAAAAGAGAACAAAGGAGCAGGAATGGAAGCAGCGAGGAGCCGTTGCAGTCGACCGGGTAAGAAATGAAGGTGGCTTAAACTAAGAAAAAAACGCATGACAAAAATGTCAAAATATGCCCTGGCCGGTCTGGCTCAGTGGTTAGAGCGTCGGTCCATAGACCAAAGGGTTATGGGTTCAATTTCCCATCAAGGGCATGTACCTGGGTTGCAGGTTCATTCCCCGGCCCTAGTGGGGGTGGTTTGAGAGACAACCAGTCGACGTGTCTCTTCTTCCCTCCCTCCCTTCCACTCTATCTAAAGATCAATGGAAAAATATCCTTGGGTGAGGATTAGCAAACAAAAAAGTCAAACTATTAATGTTCTTGATATCTAAGTCAACAAGAAAATAACAAACAGCATAATAAAAAAATGGGTAAAGATAAATAAATAGATAAATAAAATGCACGGAAAAATTGCCAAAGAAGCAAGGCAGGCATGGTGGTGTGCAGGTTAAGCGGCTCAGTGTTTCGAAGGGTATTTAAGAAACACGAAAAGCTTTAAAAATCTCCACGCCTTCTGACCCAGAATTGTGCTTCTGGGAAACGGAAGCATCATCAGAGATGCCTGTGCATTGTCCCAGGAGGGACTCAAGGGGTTCGCAGCGTGTCCCAGGTCCGGGTCCCAGAACCAGCAGGGAGAAGACAGGTCCAGTCACTGCTCCTGAAGCTGATATTCTGATGGCAGACATGGGCCTCAAACCAGATAAACACAGGAAATGTGGAGTTTGTCAGGTGGAGACAGTACATGGAAGAAAACAAAGCAAGTGGGGGATGGGAACGTTGGTGAAAGTTGGCAGTGTGAAATCAACCTAGATTACTGTGCATGATGGCACAAATATTACATAGCCCTGAAAACGCTATTTTGGGAGAGTATATAATGCCATAAAAATGCTCATGAGGCCATGCTCAGGGGCAAAACAGCAGAATGCAAAAGTTTGTACAGAGACAGAGTCAACTCTACACAGATGCTCGATAGACAATCTGTGCCGGGAAGACTGGCATTCACACACTGGATGTGTGCCTAGAAAGAGACAGGCCGTGGAGGTCACTCCATGGGGCAGCCTCTCCTGGGCAGGGCCACAGGGTGCGGGCCTGACGGCCCCGGCCTGTCCCCTCACACATCCCGCGGCCTGTCCTGGGGGCTGCTTGGGGACCAGGCCCGTCACAGCTGTGGCCACCAGGCGCTCAGACTCTCAGAGCCCGCAGTGAACAAACCTGAGCTCTAATCTTTTGTATTGTTTTATTTTTTGTTTTTTATTAATTCTCACCCAAGGATATTTTTCCATTGATTTTTAGATAGAGTGGAAGGGAGGGAGGGAGGGAGAGAGAGAGAGAAAGAAACATTGATGTGAGAGAGACACATTGATTTGTTGCCTCCTGCATGAATGACCCTGACCAGGGCTGGGGATTGAATCTGCAACCCAGGTACATGCCCTTCACTGGGAATCGAACCCAGGACCCTTTGGTCTGCAGGCCAACACTATAACCGCTAAGTCAACTGGCCAGGGCTGAGCTCTAGACTCAGAGAACTTGGTGGCACCCTGACCTACTCTGCACCAGCGGCCTCAAACGTCACTTCCCTGGACAAAAGACCCCTCCCTGATGGGCCAGACATTTCTGGGTGCATAGTACCCTGCTGCTGGCTGCAGGAGAGATGAGGGTGGTGGCTTCATCCCCATTTCTTGGTGGATAACCTGGTCCCTAAGACCCAGACTCGAGGAGCCTAGGGCTGCCTTGGCATCTCCACAGGGAAGATCACTGGTACCTCCGACCCAATACAGGCAACCTTGAGCTTCTACCTGCTGCCCCACAGCCACTCCCTGCCAGCCTCAGGTCCAAACCCTTGGAGTTGTCTCATTTGCTCCCTATTCATCTCATATCCACCTACCTCAGGGCCTTTGCACGGGCTGGCTGTTCCCTCTGCCTTGTACACTGTCCTTCACATCTTTTCCTGTAATTTGGGTCTCAGGTTACCTGTTGCCTCCTCAGAGAGGTATTTCTTGACTATCCCATCTGACCCCTGTTGCAAATCTCCCTGTCCCCAACCAGACAGCCTCCATCTCTTGTTGACATATTTCCTTCCTTCAAAAAAATCTTCGTCTTTTTTATTCAATTTATTGAGGTGACACTGGTTCACAAAATTATACAGGTTTCAGGTGCACAATTCCACAACGCATCATCTGTATATTGGACCCCAAGTCCAGTCTCTGTCCACCACCATTTATCCCCCCATACTGTCCTCCATCTTCCCCACCCTCCTCCCTCCAGTAGTCACCACACTGTTGTCCAAGTCCATGAAATTTTTCTCTCTTTTTCCCTTTTTCTCAGTCCCTCCACTGCCCTCGCCCCCAGGTTTCCTTCCTTTTTTATTCCTACCTTTGCCCGCCAGAATGTAAACTCTTTGCTCCCTGCCATGTTGCTGCAGTGTGGCCTGTGCCTGGCACACAGTAGGTGCTCAGTAAACAGCAGGGGAGGGAGCGCATTGACCAGGGCACAGTGGAGAAGGACAGCATCGGGGGAGGCACGGCAGGGCCCGAGGCTCGGGAGGGCTCGGGAAGGCCCGGGTTCCGCTGGGAGGAGCAGTTCTCCCTTTTGTGGGAATCCTCATGTCTCAGGGTCGGGGCTTTGGAACGACATTAGCAGTAAGAGTCCAGCTGATATAATCACTGAGAACATTTCCAGGTCCTCAGAATGAAGGTAATAGGAAAACAAAACAACATAAAACAAAATAGTGACCAGTTAGAGATATTACACTCAGAGGTCTGCATGGGACCTGGTGGTTCACAGGACACTTTCAGATAGGCCATACCTGTGCCAGGTCCCAGGCGGTGACACAGGCCCCGGCTCTGGAGAGTCAGGGCCAGCAAGAGCAGTGTGCAGCCTCGGGCTCCAGGGCATCTTGAATTGGTGGCTTTAATTTTCTAATAAATTGGGAGAATCGTTTTGTTTTGTATTCAGCAAAAGTTTTCCCAAGTCGGCCACCTGCTTCCGTCTGTCCCTGGGGCTACTGACCTTGCCCTGGCTACTGGGGCAGGAAGGAAAGGACCCAGAGCCTGGGGACAGACAAGGGGGTGCCTGCCTGCATGGTTGGGGCTCAGGCCTGGGCCCAGGGAAGTCAATTCCGACTGCTCTTGGCAACATCGAACGTCTGAGTGGACGCCTTCGCAGTGGCCTGCCCCCGGCCTCGCTCTGCAGTGCCCCTACTTGGGATGCTGTTCTCTGGCCAGTGTTTTCTCTCCACAAATATCCCTACTAGGATTGAGCCCGTGTTGGGACCTGCTGCAGGACTAACAGGAGAGAGGGCCTCCCAGGCCTGGGCCTAGAGACAAAGTGAGAAGTAGAGAGAGAGAGTGAGAACCGGGAGGTCTGAGCCTCAGCCCGCCGCCCCGGGTCGGGCTTGCTGTGTGGGCTCTGCGTCGCCCCTGCTGGCCTGGCTCGCTTCCCCTTCTGGGTCTGTTTCCTCATCTGTGAAATAGCCTTTGGTGGCGCTGACCTCAGAGGGCTGTGTGAGAGTCAGGAAAGCTTGGAAAGCTTGCCCAGAGAAGGGAGGAGCGGGCCCCAGGCTTCGGGCGGCCCCACTCCGCAGGCCTGGCCCGCTCCGCTCACACTCCATTGCTCACCAGCAGCGACTCCCACCCCACTCTGGCTCTTTCGGTTCCTCTTGGGCCACCTGTGGGGCTACAGGGTCTCAGTTCTGCGAGCTGAGCAGGCCAGGCCTCAGCCTCGACCCAGCCCAAAGGTCTCCTTCATCTGCTCCCTCGTGCCGGAATGCCACCACCTCCTGCAGCCATCACCCCTGAATTCAGGCCACAAGAGGTGTTTAAATGCAGATGACTAGGTGCTAAGCTGACTGAGGCTGCAGGACCTCCCTGGGGACTTCTGACCGGTACCCCATGGCTTAGTGCCTGTGTGCAAATGCTTGGGACCCCCTGTTTGAGGCACAGCCCAGGAACAAAGCCCCCTAGATTTGACCCACAAGACCCTATAGTCTACTGGGAATCTGGGTGCAGAGCCTGAGAGTCCAGCTCCAGTCCCACGAGGAGGCTGTGACCCTCCTGGGGACAGGCTGTCCTGGGGCTAGGAAAGAGCAGGACTGTGGAATCAGACATGGGACTTGTGACCTGGGACAGGTCCCCACCCACTCTGTGAAATGGGCCCCAGGGCTAGCTTCGGTGAAGCCTTCAGGGCACTTGAGCAGTGGGCCCTCAGCAGGTGACAGGCTGTCTCTCCTGGGTCACTGAATGGCCACGTCTCTCCTGTCTGCAGATCCTGAACATGGAAGATGACCAGAACTGGTACAAGGCAGAGCTCCGGGGTGCCGAAGGGTTTATTCCCAAGAACTACATCCGAATCAAGCCCCACCCGTGAGTGGCCATCACCCTAGCCCTGCGACTTCAAGGCACCTCCCCACCCCCCGCAGACAAATGTCCCCACCCGGCCTGGCTGTGCAGCCAGGTGTATCCCTTAGGAAGGAAGCCTCCTCATTCCCAGCCTCCGTCCATACTTCAAGCAGGGATAGGGGACGGAGACGTGAGGGCTTGCCCAAGTAGTGGCAGAGTCAGGGCCAGCCCAGGCCACAGTACTGAGGACCCGGAACACCAGAGAACATCCAGGAGAGCCCTGGTCAGGAGGGCCCTGGGCTCTCAGCTGGCTGGGCCACTGGCTGCTGTGTGGCTCTGGGCAGGGCCCTGCTCTCTCTGTTCCTCAGTTCTCTCCATAGCACAGGGAGGGCTGTGCTCCAATCTGTGGATGACTCCAGAGCTCCTAAGAGGCTGGCTCAGCCCCGCGTGAGGGTGAAGCGCAGTGGAGGGTGGAGGGTGTGCAGGAAGTCTCTGGGCTCTGCTTGAGGGGCACACGGGACAGCTGGACGTGCGCTCAGCGGAGCCTGGGACCAGGGCCGAATGGAGTTGTGTGTGGGGCCAGGTACCCCAGGGAAGCCCCCAGTCAGGCTCTGCCCTGAGAATGGCCAGGACAGGGCCCAGCCCCAGAACAGGCCTCAGTGGCCAAGAGTCTATAAAAAAACAACTATATATGCATGAAATGATGGCTAAGGTAGCCCCAAAATATAGCTGCTTACTCAGTCATTCACCAAACACTAGCCATGGCCCAGGGGCCTCGCCTGCATGGTGCTGGAGGCACATGAAGAGATGCTGGGGTCAGAGCAGCCCTATCCTGTGGGCGAGATGGGACATAAAGAAATTACAAACTGGGAGGCAGTCAGCACTGAGGTAACGAACCAAGGAAGGCTTCTCAGAAGAGGTAGCAGTGAGTGAGGCTTTGAAGGATGTGTAGGAGTTAGCTAGTTAGAAAAAGAGGAAGACATCCCTAGAAGAGGAGACAGGGAGAGCAACGAGGGGGAGCCCATGGCCTGGGACTGGCAGGAGGGCCTCAGATGCCAGGCCCAGGGTAGTGGGGAGCCCGGGAGGTCTTGGAGCAGGGGGGGGATTCAGTCAGATATGGAGGCAAGTGACAAGGCCAGGCAGGCTGGAGGGGGCAGACTGGGAGTCGTGATCTCTGTGTGGCTGTGGGGTGAAGGGGGAGGGAGGTGCAGGGCCAGGGAGGGGCCTGAGAGTGTTTCCTCTTTATCTGTCTGTGAGTTATTTCCAAAGCTGCCACAACTCCAGCTTCATGTGCTGGGCGAGGCCCCCTCCCACCCAGGCCCCCGCCTCCCTCACAGAGGCTGCAGCCTCCAGCCGGCATCTTGGGCAGCAAGCCTTGGCTCCTGGTCCCACGGGGTCCCTCTGGGCTGTGTGACACTGGGCAAGGGACTGCCTCCTGGCCTTACAGTCTTTCTGTCCATAAAGGGAGAGCAGGAGGGGAGAGAGATGGTGGGAGCCCAGCCCGGGGCCACAGGCCCAGCCCCCCAGGCAGGTACAAGCCAGTGGAGGGCAGGCGGGAGCCATCCCGGGCTGGCTGGGCGGGATCTCCAGGTGGAAGCAATGGCCTGGCAAAGACCAGAAGCCTGGGCGGCCCGCAGCTGCTGAGGGCCTGAGCGAAGGGGAGAAAGCTGACCCAAGTCCGAGGGGCTGGGCAGGCCTGTCGGGGCATGGCTGGTGGCCCGGGCAAGAGGACCGCAGGGCAGTCGGGGCCATGGAGGGTTCCAGTGTTCAATGCCCCTGGGGTCCCTGGGGTCAGCTCTGGCCACTGTGCTGGGACAGAGCAGGATGGGCTTCCGAACCCCCACCCGAGGCCATGCCCACTTCAGCATTGCCCCAAAATAGCAATGGGGAAACTCCAGCTCAGCGCCTGACTCAGCCCCTCAGGCGCCAGGGTGTGGGGTGTGGGGTGTGGGGTGGGGGTGGGTTCCCCAAAAGCCTTGTGCCTACACCAGGCCCACTCTTTCCCTGAGCACCCACTGTCACCCCTCCCTGCCCAGGGAGCCCCGGGGGAGGTATGATGCAGACCAGGTGCTCCCAGAGCAGGGGCCATGAAGGCACCTGACACGGCAGCGTGGCCAGTGGGGGTCAAGGAGGCCGCCCAGGGGAAGGTCCCGGTCTGCTGGGCCTGGTAATTAGAGCGGAAGTTTGCCAGGGAGGGTAGCGCGCAGGCCTAACCAGCAGCTGTACCGGGGCGGGCTGGCAGCCACAGGAAACACTCGTGTGGCAGCACAGTCTCCGGGCGCCAGGCGCCGGGACAGGCACAGGCACGGAGAGGTCGAGTGGCTCATTCGGGGTCACGCGGCTGGCGAGGAGCAGGGTGGATTTGCAGCCAGGGCTGTGGCCCCAGCTGTGCTCACCGGGAAGGGCAGTGGGGAGCCCTTAAGAATAGCTGGGGTTTGGGGAGAGGCCAAGGTCAGGAACATGCTGTGCCGTGTTTCAGGGAATCCCTGACCTTCTCTGGGCCTCAGTTTCTACCTCAGGAAAATGGGGGACTAGGCCAGGTGGCCTCAAGTGGAGTAGCGCTGGCAGTGGAGAGAACTGGGCTCTGGGGCTGCGGGACATGCTTGCTTCTCCCACGCCCAGGTAGGTGCCCCAGGAGGACCAGCCCTGTCTCCCCAGGTGGGGGCAGGGCTGGCCTCCTTGGAGGGTGCGGTTACAACACCCTTTGAGGGTGACAGCCACCCACACACTGATGCCTCCTATGGGGTTTTGTGGGTTCTTTGGAGATACCCAGGCTCTTAAGAAACGCCCACTTGGAGCCCTGTTGGGCTTCTGCTCCTGTAGCAGGGCCTGCACCTGTGTCTTGCTGGGGCCTGGCAGAGGGGATCCCCTGGGCCCCGTGAGCTGGGGGCCTCCACGTTCAACTCAGCCTCTGGCCAGAGAGCTTTTGTCCAGGACTCCCACACTCCAGAGGCCCAGGCTGAGCTCTGCAGATGGTCGCCTTGATCGTCCATACTCAGCAGCCGACTTCACTGCCTCCCCTCCTGGGGACACCCACCTGAGAGGGCCCAGGGTCCCCACCAGTTTGGGGGCTGCATTTGGTTGGAACCTCACTTCTGAGGGTGCAGGCTCCCACAGGGCGGTGCCTGAGATGTGACGTGAGGACAGGGCTTCACTGTGGGGTGCGGAGTGGGCAGGGAAGGGTCCGACAGGGTGTGCTAGCACATGGCTGCGAAGGAGGCTGGGGGGCCGCACAGGCACCCCCGAGTGCTGGGGGCAGGGGCAGGGCTGGCCCTTTCCCACCCGCTCCCGCGGTCGTCCCTTGAGAATATTCCAGGGGCTCAGCACACAGGCCAAGTATACTAGTCACCAGAAAAAGCCCTCGGGCAGAATCCCCAGTGTTTGTGTTTGATGGGGCACATGGGACCCCAGTGGGGAGTGCGGAGAGGGCAGGACACCGCCAGCATCTGCCACCGCACCTGACTTCCTCTGCTCTCAGCTCGAGGGCTCAGCAACATCCTGAGGCAGCAGAAAAAGTCCCACCTCACATCTGCCGGGGCCAACCTCAGATTCAGTGAGCATGTGCTGAAGAGGAAGGGGAACATGGAAGGGAACGGACGATCGGCCCTTGGTCCCCAGGGTCCCACCGGGAGGCTTTGGCTGCTTCGGGCCTCGTTCCCACCCTGTCCCCAGACAAATAAAGGGGCTAGGCTAAAGCCCAGGGGCTGGGAAGCCAGCCAGAGACCACCTGGACCCTCCGAGGGTGGGAGGCCAAATACGAAGGAGTTGGAGTTGGGGAGGAGCTGCCTGCAGCCATGCAGAGATGGGCAGGGCTGAAAGAAGCTGGGTCCCAGCCTTTTATTCCCAGACCCTGGGATGGCGGGGATCTTGTGAGACTCTAAGCATTTACCATGCACCTTCTGTATACCCAGTTCTGTTTGGTTAGCAGGAAAAGGGATGTGGACCTGTGAGAAAAAGTCCAAGTGGCTTCAGTCTGTGCATTTGTGAAATGAGTACAGTGTGAGATGTTTCCTCACCAGATCAAAGCTGCTATTGTTTTTTAAAATCATTTTTATTTTTATTTTTTTCACTTTTAAGAATCTACCATCTAAAACGGAAAGGCTGAGCTGGGGTTGGCTGGGTGGAGGTTCACTGAGGTTTGATACTTGTTTTCCTAATGGTATGTGTCTTCGTAGCGTGGTGGAAAAGGGTTGGTTCCCAGCTCCTGCCTGCCACAACATGGAACCCTGGGCTCCTTGCTTCGCTGCTCTGTGCCTCAGGTCCCTCATCTGTAAAATGGGTGCAATTGTATCTCCTGCATTTCAGGACTGCTGTGAGGGTCAGCGATGTTGAGTACCTGGGCACAGAGAGTGTAGCCTGGCCTCCCACCACCTTCACCTGTCCCTCTCTCTGCAGGTGGTACCTGGGCAGGATTTCCCGGCAGCTGGCTGAAGAGATTCTGATGAAGCGGAACTACCTGGGAGCCTTCCTAATCCGGGAGAGCGAGAGCTCCCCAGGGGAGTTCTCCATCTCTGTGAAGTGAGTTGTGACCCAGCAGGGTGCAGGGGAAGGTAGGCAGGGAGGCAGCATCTGAGCTGAGTGTCCAAGCATGGAGCTTGCTCACAGACTGCGGTGGCAATAATGGCATCCCCAGGGAGGAGCAGCCCCAGCAAACGCCTAGAAGCAGGTGACTGTCTGGGGGTTAGGGAAGGACACACACCCCAGGGTGTGGCCTGGAGCAGTAAGGATGTACTTGAAAAACAGGCTTGGGCTGACTGGAAGGCCTAAGTGCCAGGTGGGGAGTCTGGACATTATTTTATGAGCAGTAAGGAGCCATTAAAGATTAATCGCCAGGGAAGGCAGAGGAACGCTCGCGGCTTGTGTGACGGGGGTGACTAGGGACAGGAGACACAAAGGCACTAGGGCAGATTTTCAGGATATACTTCTGACAGGGTCCCGCTGTTACTGGAGAGGGAACCTGGCCCTTAGCAGGTCTTCCCAAGGCTGGCTGGTAGCGTGTGGGTTCTTGACTTCCTGCAGGAAAGATTGCACAAGCGAGTCCAGGTGATTCTGAGAGTGTTTACTAAAGCTGGGGACCGTGGAACAAGGAGGGCCTAGGATGGAAGGAGCAGAGGGAGAGCCTAGGCTGGGTGGCTTTAGCTCTGGAAATGTTAGAGGGAAGAAGTGGGTCGAGGTGGGGCTGCTTTGGCCCACAGGAGAGTCAGAGGCCAGGGGGCCTGGAGACAGGTTCACAGGGCTAGCCCGGGACGAGCCGCCACTGCCCTTGCTCCCCTGGTGGCAAGTCTCGTAGGGACCCTTAGAGTTTAGGGACGTATGCCTGTGGGGGAAGGAGAGGGGAAGGTGTTGGGCCCTTGTTTTGAGGATGTTTGAAGGCTGGGAGTTTAGGGGAGGTCTTAGGACAGATCTCAATAGAAGATTCACAGCCTTTCCAGGTGTGTCCTTTCGGGGTCATGGTCTCCACTGATTGGTCTGTGTCAGGACAGGGGGTCATTAATCATTAGAGCTGGTCCTGGCATCCCCGATCTAGTTTTGCTGCTTTTCTGGGCCTGTAACTGAAATGGAACCGAGGCCTAGATGCTATCTGGAGGGAGGGGCCTTCTCTGTCTGGCTGTCACTGCTGTGCCAGTTTGTTGCGCTGTTCATCTCAGTTTCCTCATTTCACTTGCCAAGAAAGTTTTCCAGCTCTTACTGTGCTGCCGCACCGCTACATGGCGACGGAGTTGAGAGGGTGGACCCTGGGGCCAGGCTGCTTGGGCTCAGATTCTGGCTCTGCCACTTCCTAGCTGTGTAACCTTGGACAGGTTACTTACCCTCTCTGTGCCTGTTTCCTCACATGTCAAATGGGTTATCGCAAGGAATAACGAGTCCGAACACTGAGAGCAATTAGAACGGTGCCTGGCAGGGGCTGCGGCAGCTCCTCAGGCAGGCGTGGCGGACTCCAGGCCACACAGAGCCCAGTCCCAAAGGCCACGCGGGGCAGCCGGGATCCAGGCTGGAAGCAAAGGGGTCAGGCCCCTGGCGGGTCTCTGTCCTTCCTATTTCCAGTGTCTGTGTGAGAAGGGGAAAGTCCCCCTCTTTCTCCTCTTAGTTCTTCTGCCTGGTCAAATAATCCAAATGGCATGAGACGGATTAACAGAAGAAAGTAATCAGATTTAATTACGTATGTACCTCTGGGGTTCTGTAAGAATATGGGACCCGTTGTCAGTGGGGCAGTTAAAGCTGACTGCCACCTTGCGCGAAAGAGAAGTTGTGGTTTGGGACTTAAGCGGGGAGGAGGGCGGTTCACCTAGAGATGAAAACCCCACATTTGGTAAATATGTTTGCTGGGCCATCTTCCGAAAACTTTTTTTTTTATTAATTTATTTTTGTTACAGATGTTTCTCCTTTTCCCCCCAGACACCCTCCTCCCTCCCCCTCCCCCCAGCCAGGTATTGTGGTCTGTGTCCTTTGGTTGTGCATACATGCATATAAGTTCTTCGGTTTATCTCATCCTGCTGGGCCATCTCTAACAATGGGACCCAGAAAGGGTTTGGTCCAAGGGCCACACTAAGTTCCTCTCTATCATACCTTGATCACTTTAAACCATGGTTATCTATGATGATAGCCCACTTCCTGGGGCAGGCCCACTATTTTTTAATTTTTACTTTTAGAGAGGGAGAGATAGGAACATCGACTGGCTGCCTCCTGCACACTCCCTACTGGGGATTGAGCCTGCAACCTGGGTTTGTGCCCCGACCGGGAATCGAGCCTGTGACCGCTTGGTCCGTGGGCCGATGCTCAATCCACTGAGCCACACCAGCCTGAGGGAATGTCTAAGTTTTCTCCTGAGTCTTTTGTTTCTTAAAAATAACCGTCTTAAAATAATCAATATCCCAAAGAGGCACATTTTGTGGTGGCTGTCTCACTCCCCTTCACCTGGACCGGGGGGTCTAGATGCCTACATTCAGGGAGTATTTGTTGAGCTACATGCCATGTGCCGGGCTAGTCTAGGGCCTGGGGAGAGGACAGTGAGGAAATCAAAGTTGCTGCCCTTACAGGTTCCTGTCTTAGGAGGGGGACAGGGGATGGAAAACAGATGGATGCGGGTGGCCTCTCTGAGGAGACCACGTCAGGCCACTATCTGAACGGGAGGTGGAGGTGGTCCAGGCCCCAGGGCAGGAGGACCTGGGGGGAGAGACTTTCAGGCAGAGGGAGCAGCACTGTAGAGGCCCTGGGGTGGAAATGTGCTTGGGGTGGGTTGGAAGCCACAGGACACCTCACTGGAGCAAAGGGAGCGAGGGGACAGGGTGGAGGTGACAGTCAGGGGAGGGGCTGGTGGGTCCCGACAAGGAGGCTGGGTTTGTCTCAGTAAATGGGGCCACGGGAAAGTTTGGGGCAGGCGGAGATGCTCGTTTCCAGTTTTTAGCCAATCTCCCTGGCTGCTGGGAGAGAAGCTGGCATGTGGGGAGGCAGTGAGGAGCCTGGCAGGAGGGAAGACACCTGGGACTGTGGTGGGGCCAGCGGGTGACAAGTGGCTGCGTTGGGGACATGGTGTAAACCTGTGCAATGGGGACCGCCAGCAGTAGCACGTCAGGATTGCTGAGGGCACTGGGCACAGAGTCTGCATGGAGGAGGCGCTGCTGGGCCAGCTCTGGCTGTCACGAAGGGCAGTGTTGGGGTGGCCAAGCTGCTGGCTGGAAGGAAGGGACAAGTGGTGGACCCTGGAGCTCAGGAGCATGGCCTCTGGGTGGGGGTGGCTGTTCAGTATATTGTGTGGTTCATGCCAATGGCTCGAGGTTTTCCAAAGGATAAAAGAACACAGGATGACTTTGATGGTGAACAGAGGGGCTGGGTGTGAGGGGTGCTGGGGTCATGGGAACCCCAGTGAAGGAGAGAAAGAAGGACTTGGACAGGGAGGGTTCATGGTGTCCTTGGCAGCTCCAAACAAGTGACCCACACGAGGGCTCCTGTTTGCAGAAAGGGAGCCCAGTCGATCCCTTCCAGGCTCCCTCCGGCCCTGCGGTAAGCTCTGTGACGTTTGTCATGCTTGCTGTCACTTCTGTAAAGAGCTCGTGGTGATTTGTGATCAGCACACTGGGACCCTGTGAGTGGTAACCTCCCTGTCTGAGCCTGGAGGCACCTGCGTGGGGGGCCAACTATGGCCGGACCACTGTGCTCAGCTCGATCCCTCCATACTGTGTAGCCAGCCATCTGCTTTCTTCACTTCCCCTGTCCCCTGGGAAGGGCTGGTGACCCCGAGGGACAGGAATGGCTCTTACCCTCTTTGAATCTGTTTCCTCTTCTTAAAAATGGGAGCACTGTAGGCGTGTGTGTGGGGAGGTCCTGTGAGTCCTTGGCCCCGACTCCCTCCCAGGATGGGCTTCTGAAGTGCCCTGTCTGACCTCCCCACCTCCCAAGCCCAACTCCCACTTTCTACCTGGTTTCCTGTAGAAGCAGGAAGTGGTGGTTTTCCACCAGCTGGCTGTCAGGTCGTCTCCTGGGAAAGGCGCCCACCAGGTGGTCTGGTCTGGCTTTGACTGGCTCCTGGAATTAGATCCAAAGCCCAAAGCAGGGGCACAGGGGAGTCACTGGGAGGCTTCTGGAGCCTGAGCTGAGGAGAGACGGTGGCCCTCCCAACACCCCCCTCCCACAACATCCCCCCCCACTCTCCCCACCCCTGTGGCCTCTCCCTCCTCTGCTAACAAATCAGTGTGCCTGGAGTTCCTCATTAGTGCCTGCCACACTGCCCTCTCCTGGTGTCCCTCTGTAAATGCAGTCAGTGCTCAGGTAGAGGTTCACACCCAAGCATCTCAACCTATTGTGTCCACCAAGGATGGGCAAGACAGAGAGAGGAGTCAAACCCAAGGAGTGTGGTGGGGAAACAGACACAGCCTGGTCCAGGGGTGTTCCTGATGCATGAATGAATGAGGGAAATTCAGTGACAGCAGACACATTCCACGTGGTAAAGGAGGTGACATCTGGACTGGAACCTGAAACATGAGTTTGATGCACAGTGGACCCAGCACAGGAAAGCACATGTGCAAAAACCCGAAGGTGGGCCAGCGAGAGGTGGGTTTGGATAGCAACACGTTTGACCAGGAAGGCAGATGGGCAGTACTAGGGAGCCATTCTTGAGCAGGGGAGCCAGCACCAATGTTGTCCTGGGAAGGGGTCTGGAAGCGTTTCTCAGAGAGATTCTGGCACATGCTCCCAGCACCTCCCTCAAGGCATCCTGGCCAAGACCCCCAGAGTTAGACCAGCAGGAGCTTCTTGTGCCTTGCTGGCTGGTTTGGGCACCACCAGGGGGCACCCTCCACCCTGGTTCGTCTCAGCTGGATCAGGTCTCCTAGGTCCTGTCATCATCAGTCATGGAGCCTTTCAGTGGTCTTTGGAGGACAACTGGGAAGCGACCAGAGAAGGAAACTGAGACTCAGAGAATTTATGTGGCTAGAAGTGTGGGCTTTTGAGCAAGAAAGTCTGCTCTGACACCTGCTGGCTGTGTGACCCTGGGCAAGTTACCCCTGAGCTTCAGTTTCTTC